AGACGAGTTTGGCAAGGATTCACGTCCGAGCTGTCTCAACTATCGTGAGAAGATAAGGAGCAATCCGAGTCGTCCACACCTATCGCCGAGAAGGAAGCCGTGGCAAAGCAAATTTCGAAGCAAGTCGAGTTGAGCGGATACACGATCTTCATCAGCGCGCCAGCACGCGTGACTGTGCGCAGTGCCGCGGGCAGTCCACCAGTTAGCCCAACAGGACGCCGCGCATGCCCAGCACGCTTAGTCGCGCCTGGGACGGCTGTCCAGCACCGCAGCAAGTCAGCAGTGCCCGTGCGCGCTGCGCGCAGCACGCGGCAGGCTGTTGGCTGAGCCGACACCGACTGTCAGTTCAGTCGACCCGCAGTCCGGTCCAGACCGGTTCAGACCGGCTGGACCGGTTCAGCCCCATTTTTAATCGGTTCGGTTCTTATGTTAAGGTTTCAGCCCGCTTCATGATTTTAATGGTATTTTTAGTTAAATTTCTGGGATTATTTCAGTTCAGTAAATTCATGTCCAATCAGTTCATGTCAGTTACGGTTATTCCGGTTAAGTCTAAATATCATGTCAAGGTTCAATAGAGCATCTTAACGAAATTAATCAGTTAAGTTAACAGTCTGAGCATAGTCATTAGTAATTGTTTATATTATTTTCAGTTTGATCAGGCATCAGCACTACCGTTCAGTTCAGCAGTTCAGGTGGGGACTCAGACTACGTACTACATTGATTATAATTACAGTACCATGTTTGAGGTATGTATTACATGTGAGGTATCCGCTCGGAATGGTCGCCGGTCCATTCTGGGTTCTAGTGGCCCTAGTCTGCCCACTAGAGTGTGCACACGGTGTCCGACATTAGTTTTTTCCGGCAGATGAGGTAACGGTAAGGGTCACGGTTGCGTGACGATATCAGATTCATGTTCATGTTATTACCGGCTTGAGGTTGAGGTTATGTATATACCGATATCATGATGTTGTTATTATTTTCAATGTTTACATTAGTATGAGTTTCCACGGAGCACAGTGCCATAGTGCTCATTCCCCATTGTTATCATGTTTTTCAGGTCAGGATGTCGGGCAGGGAGCATGAGCTAACGGAGGCTTCAGGACATTTATGTTTTGACTGTATATTTATTATGATGATTACGCTTCCGCTGACGATGTTTTTGATGACGTTTGACGAACTTATATTTTGACGAACTTTTGGAAAACTTTATGATTCAGTATCAGTATGATTTTATTAAAAATTAAAATAACGGTTTTCCAAATTAAGTCATGTTTTTTTAAGGTTGCACCTCGAATCAGTTTTCGCAAAGTAAAAGGTTTTATTTTTAAAAGATTTGCGAAATTTTCGCACTCTGATTTTAACGATAAAGAAGGGTGTTACTGACTGGGCGCTGCCCACGCTCTCTACACGCTGCAGCACTGCACGTGGGCTGACTGTGTGCTGTCGGGTGTGACATATTTAAAGACGAACAAAACAGAGTTACCCTTTACAAAACAATTCAACAATTATATTAAAATAATTTAATCACTCACCAAGTTTAACCCACTAACCATAAAGACATTTTATCACGCAATAATGATAAAAAAGAAAGCAGGAATCTAGAAGCAACAGTTAAACTATCAACATGCATAACAATTTATAAACATATACATTAACAATAATATTGGAGAAATTTTTCACGCGTGCATAATTAGGAAGACTAATCAAAACTCTTCCACCTTAAACAACATGGATTAAGTTACAAGAACAAGCCTTATTTTCTCAAGCTTAAAATGCAGTCATAAGGCATTAATATCTGAAATTAAAGGCTCATAAACGTTTAATTTCAGCGTCATGTAACCATTCAATTATCAGTAAATAAGAGCAAAGCTTGGCATTCTCAAGAACATGAACTCGATTCCTCTGAACTCAAGCACATAACATCAACTTAAACACACGAAACCTCTTCAACAATCACAGGGCCACCACACGGCCAACCCGGGTACAAAACATAGCACCTCCTTCAAACATGTATCAATTATTCTCAACCAAAACAAGTTATGAAGGTTCGGCTGTTGTTAGTGGCGAAGCCAGAAATTTTGGTTGCTGGGGTCGGGACAAACCCATAATACTAACTTTAAGGTTGCAATCATACAGTACCACACATAATATTGAATAATTCAAAATAGCATTGTAGCAACTGACAAATTATAGCAAAACAAGCTTTCACAATAGTATTACTTCCTATAAGTTCCCTCTGCGGTTGCAGTCCTCTATCTTGTGAAAGAGAATGATCACATCATCAAGTGGAATTGTTGCTAGAAATTCTTGTTCAACGAAGCATACGATACAATCATTCATAAACCCATCTCCAATACGATTTCGTAGTATTGTCTTCACAATTTTCATTGCTGAAAAACACCTCTCCACTGATGCAGTAGCAACTGGATGAACTAGTACTAGCTTGAGAAGCTGATACACCAAAGGGAAAGCCAGATGCTTGTTTGTGCTCACCATCAATTTAGCAAGTTCAGAAATTGTGTTCAAGTTGGCAAATCTTTCATCAGCTCGCACATTATCAATATAAATGTTAAGCTTAGTACCAAGATCCCTTAGTTGTGTTGAATCGGAGTCATCAGGATATGATTTAGCCAACTCCATTAAACTTTCAAAATTGAAAGACTCAAAAGAATTCTTCGGACTGAAAGCAGCAATCTGTGTGAGCAATTGAGAGTTTACCTCATTGAAATGATCATTGAACTCTACAAGTTGCAAGTCAATAATTGGATTGAAGCAATCATATCTGTAATGTTGATAGTTGGTTCGATTGGTCTTTTTTCTTGGCCTGTGACGATCAATATAGTCCTCATCCATATCCAACTTGGGAATGTCATGTTCTTCACAAAATGACTGCACAGCCTGCAACAAAGAATCCCAACCATCATCTCTAATTTCCTGAAATTTCTGCTTGGTTAACTTCACTTCCATCATGGCCTCCAAGATATCTTTATCTTTTCTTTGCAAGGATAGTGACAAAGAATTTGCATGTCCTAAAATAAGCATCATTAAGTGCAAGTGGAACACAAAGTCGAAATCCTTAAGGTAGTCCAAGAGACCACGAGCTTGGCGTCTCTTTGCATCATTAGGACCTTCCTTCTCAACATATTGGAGCACTTCAATAACTTCAGTAAACAAATTGCTGACACTCTTGAGGGTTTTATAATGAGAACCCCAACGTGTGTCTCCAGCTCTTTGAAGAGACTGCTCTTGATTTAATCCAGTTCCACTATTTAGTTGTCCACTTCCTATGGCTTTTCTAACTCTTTCATGTTGTCTTTCTCGAATCATATCTTTACGCTTGCAAGAAGCTCCAGCTACATTAAGCAAAAGAGATATCATGTCAAAGAAATCACTAGTGTCATCGTTCTTTTTAGCCACCGCTACGATGACCAACTGCAGTTGATGGGCAAAGCAATGTATATAATATGCTGAGTTGTTCTCTCTCTGAATTAAAGCTCTCAATCCATTGAACTCGCCTCTCATGTTGCTGGCCCCATCATAACCTTGTCCTCTAATTTGTTTTATACTCAAGCCATATTTAGCAAATAAATTATCAATGTTAGATTTCAGACATGAAGCTGATGTCTCTTGGACATGAACAACAGAAATAAGTCTCTCCTTTATTATCCCAAGTTTGTCAACATACCGCAAGACAACTGCCATTTGTTCCTTGCCAGAAACATCAGCCGACTCATCTACTAATAGGAAAAACACATCCCCACTAATTTCTTCAATGATAGACTTCACAATGATCTGTACAAAAAAAATGACTAACCATTAATTCCTATATATAAATGAGAGAGGATATAATTCTGTAATAAAAAAAATTTGGCGACATTCTCTCTTACCTCAGCAAAACAATTAGCAATGTCCCTTTGAATTTCTGGAGCAATCATCTTATTATTTTTAGGAGCGTCAACTACTTTCTTCACTTTGTCATTTTCCTCTGCCAAAAGATCTACTAACTCTCGAAAGTTTCCCTTATTTGTAGATTTCTCTCTTTCATCATGGCCACGAAAAGCTAACCCTTGGTGCAACAAGAATCTGACAGCTTTAATAGATGTCTTCAATCGAATCAAATTGTTCTCTTTAGTTATACTACTCCCCTTGTTCATGGCTTCACCTATTGATTGGCCAGGCTTCAATAAATTGTCACATCTTTTCACAGTTGTGTTATGAAAACTATCACATTTCTTGCTTACATGATCCCTGAGCCTATCAGATTTTTTCCACCCATCCCAACCATCTATTACAAATGCATCATTCCCACCATGGCCCTTGTTGCAATCTCTAAACAGGTAGCAATATAAACAAAAACACTTATCCACCTTTTCACTGTACTCTAGCCATCCATACATATTGAACCATTCATGTTGACACCGACGTGGAAACCCAGCAATCATTGTTTGTGGAAACTTAAAACTAGATGGTGGCTTACAAGGACCTCTTGTCAAATACTTTCTCCTTACATCATTTTGTAGCTGGTCACCAATGTAATCAGATATTCTCCTTCTATCGGCTGGATCATATGGAAGCTCATCAAAATTTACCTCTTGTCGTGATATCCGCGAAGACGAAAAGCGATGACTAGTATGATTTGTATCTGATGCAGTGCCATCTCTTCTTGTTCTTGAAGTATCTCCATCATTATTCCCATTATCTTTGCCTTCATTGGGCGGAGGTGATTTCCTTTTCAAGAATCGTTCCAGTTTGCTTTGACTGCCTCTGCCTATCAAATTACAATTTACAAATCTATTATCAATTGATTACTAATGTGCAAGTAGACATACAGCCACACATGTGATTAGAATAAATAGTTAAATACCTGACATGGAGATCGCCGGCTTGTCGATCACCACCGAGCACTGATCGCCGGCTAGTGGAACTGTTGATCTCCCGTTCTCATTCCCGTCAGCAGTTCTTGTCTTCTTGATATTGAAAAGGATTTTTTTTTTTTTTTTGATTCAATGTATTGATTCACGAAAAGCTAAAGCGGACAAATTAAAGGAAGATGAGCGTTGGATGGTGTTCAATTGTGGATCATTTTTTGTACCAAAAAAATAAAAAAAAAAAGGATCATTTTCCCCAAAAAATTGGGGATCTTGGCTTCAGTTGTTCGCAATTGATAAAGCAGGTGAAAGTTTAGGTTCTTGATTTTTTATTTCAATTGTGGCTGCGTGCGTGTGTAAGTTGCTGGGAGAGGGGTTATTTGATTTCTTATTTTATTTTATTTCATTTTTTTGAAATTTTATGAAAATGACGTTGTTTCACTTAACTTTTTTTTAATTAAATGAAGTTCAAAACGACATCGTTTTATAATCAAATTAAAAAAAAAAAAACCTTCTACCATTCATCTTTTTCCCCTTCCCTGCGCACAGATTTTTTTTTTTTGCCTTATCTTGCACCCAGAAAATTATATTAACATAATAATCTATACTTAGCAGTAAAATTTCAGCCTGGGCAGTTGCCCAGGCTCGCCCATATATAGATCCGCCCCTGTTGCCGGGGTCTTATTATTTTTTTAATGGGGTCTTACACGGTGAAATTTTGTTACGTACAAGTGGTTCAACGCAAAGCGTCGGTGTCGGACGACCCTAGCCACTGAATGTAGCTTCGCTCCTGGCTGTTGTACCTTCTTCGAGACTAAGAACAAGAACGAACAAACTACTCGGGTCAAGGCCAAAGCGTTCGGGGATGGTTCAGCTGGCTCCTGCTAACCGGTCGGTTGTCACTCGTCCGCTCGGTAGCCCGCTGGAATCGGTGAGGCGCTGCAGCAGTGGTTCGCGGCTCCTGGAGTGCGTGCGGGCTGACAGACAGCTCAGCGTGGTGCACGAGGATCTCGTCGGCACGGTGCCAGATCGTGGCTTCCTCGACGGGGCTCGATATAGGCTTGCGGTGGCTAGGTCGAACCTTGGTGGCAGTTTGTGTGCTCCTGGCGGGGTGCTGTTCGAGCAAGGGCAGTCGCCGGTGGTTGGTCCGTGGCATGAGAATCTGAAAGCATCGAACAAAGCCCGAAGTTGAGGGTCGGGGTTCGTCGATGGGGCATGAGGCGCCGTCGATGGGTGTCTGAAAAGGGGCAGCGAATAGAGGGAGAGATATCGCTACGGGAATCGATATCACGAGGGTGGTGGCTCGCCGGTTCGCAGACACTGTGGCTCTGCCCTAGGAGTCACCGGAGGCAGGTGAGTGTCGTGGGATGCGACGGAACTGCAGACTTGCTCTCTGAGGGAAACAATCGCCGTCTGTGGTCTCGCAAGGGGGATGGATGTACTGTGATGCGTACAACCGAGAGAAGGATGGGGAAAGATTGGGCAATCTGATTGAGCTTTTCGATTTAAAGGATCTAGCATATCATCTGAACTAGCAAACGAGAAGGAAAAATGGCGAGAGAGAGAAAATCTTGGGTTTGAATGACTCTCCGGAGAATTGAATTCCTTGGCCGAGCTATAGGAGAAGGTGGTCGATTATTGTGGCTGAAAAATCGCGACAAGATTTTTGATCAGTTGAAGATGGAGACTCCGTCGTTCGTCGTGAGAGAAGAAGGAGAGAAAGGGAGCAGGCTTTTGATTTTAAATCTTGTCGGGCCTTGATTAATCAAAGAGAATGGGCCATAAGATTAATTTGGAAGGCTGGAAATAAATTACCCTCGCGCCGGAAATTATGAATAAATCGGGTCAAAAATAATTAGCACAAAGGGCCAGGAATAATTCACAAGGTTGGAATATAACTCAGATTGGGTTGGAACCAATTTAATCGGGCCGAAATAAAATACAACGTGATAACAAGATTTTTTTTGCTCGATTCGATTTAATAAAACATCGCTTAGAATAAATAGGACCGGATTATCTATATTTATAATACACACAATATATTTATTTAATAATAATCATTTAAAAACAATTATACAGTTACGAGCACATAATCACTATAAAAATTAATAATCGAGCACGAATAAAATAAATCCGTACAATTAAAATAAATAATAATTCCAATAATTATTCCGGAATAAATGGGGCTCTACACAAATGCCAGAACTCTCAAATTGAAAGTTGTGAGCAGATGGACGATATGTCAATATGGAGAATTCTATAAGCATGAAGAGAGAGAGAGAGAGAGAGAGAGAGAGAGAGAGAGAGAGAGAGAGAGAGACAAAGAGAGCACTTCACTATCAACGTTCGCAGAGTTAACCATTGTTTCAATCGTGAGTACGTATTTTCAAAATGTTACCGAGAAGACCACTTGACCGACAAATGAAATTTGATCGACCTGATGCTGGAGTAATTCTAGCGTCAAAAGCGCCAAACCGAGAGACTCCAAGAAGCTGCAAGAGCTGAAGACCCAGACTCCTAGAAGCTGCAAGAGCTGAAGACCCAGATCCGAATTGTGAATTGTTGGACCAAGAGCGTCACCCTAGGGTGCGCCCGATGGTTCGTGAAGAAAGGAGATGTGCACCAATTACCAAATGTTATGTAGACTCAAGGAGGAGAGTAAGTACTCACCTTTGAGAGTCGAAAAGTTATCGACCCATGCGGGAAGACAACAAGTTCCAAGATTGAACTTGAAGCGTGGACATCCTCTTTGAGAAGTTGAGGAGCCCGAAGCCTCAAGATTATAAAGCACGAGGAATTTGAGGTGATGAAGTCATCTCTAAGTACTAGTGGTGTACGACATCACTAGCTTTAGATTAGACGTTGAGGGAAGAAAGAACAGAAAAGCCTCAACATTGAAATTTTAAGTACCCTTGGGTAATTTTTTCCCATATAAGTAGTGAGACCCTCGAGTTGTATCAGGAAGAAGTTAGCTCCAGTTGTAGTGTGCCGAGTTAACTCAGTACCGCAGTACCGTGAAGCCACTATCATAAGACGTGGATACGACTGTGTTTATGACTGCAGGCGACACTGACGCTGCAGGTACATCGCACGCAGGTGTTCCGCGCCTGTGGACCCCGGGTAGTGGGTAAGCCGCATGCAACGTACCATGTGCAACGTACCACATCGTCAGGAGCCGAGTCACAGCAAGTCGAACCCAATTGCTAGTTTTCCTCATAAATATTACAGATCGATGGACGATTAGAACGCTCAGAGGGTTGTGTTTTGAATGACAAATCCATTCGAAAGAGCGATTTGCTACTAAGATAGCTAATAAATATCGATTGTCATGGCATCGTACAATTTTGTGCGGACACAAGTGTGGATCTCTGACGTACAAGAAAGAATTAGTGAGAGAAAGATTCCTGGTCAACAGTAGGCCGACTGATAATAGAGAAATGATCAGCGACCCATGCTAAGACTAAGGCAACCCTGAACCGATGAAAGTCACATATAGGCCAGCCACAAAAAGATTTTGAAACCAGTGTAAACGGCAAGATGACCCTGAGGGTCACACCCCAGTTATTTTCAACATATAGCCGAAACGACAAGCTAAGCCCAACAGTTGAGGCTTTGTCGCTGAAATTCTCGGGAAATGGGAAGCGATTTTTCCCTACGTCTCGAATTTGAGAAGACGTACTCGAGCTCAAACACGTGGAAGCCTTAAATGAGCCTCACGTTTATCCAAGTTGACCCATGAGATAGTGCATACGGCCAATTTGTTGGAAAAGGTACGCTAGTTAGAGAGCCTAGAAGTAGGCCTTTCTAAGTCCAGAAGTATAGATGAGCTTGTTTTGAAGTTCCCCAGTATAGTTTCTAAAGTTTTGTCTTGGATTTAATCTAAGGCACATAGTGGGATTTTTGTGAGTCGCCATGGTGAACGAATACCAGCGAGACCAACCGATGCCGGTACCGCCATATAGCAGTATCCAGATGGAGAAACCAGTTCTGAACTTGGGTTAACGGTGTATAACAGCTGTAACGCCCCACTTTTGTTTACCGAAAATCAGAATAAGTTTTTCGAATTTATTTCAAAACAATACTTGAGGCGCCACTCATTTTCAAAAGGCCTAATTGCTGGTAAAATCATGACCTTGCAGCTTTTTGCCGTTTTAACCAAACTTTTGGGATTTAGCAAGAATAACCTAACCTTGTCCCATTTTTGCAACCCGAACCCAAATTCAAACGGTCGTCTCATTTTTTCCAGTGTGTCCGTTAAACTCTACCTACGTGGACTAACTTACTTCTTAGTGTTGTGACGTGGTAAAGACATTATAAAACACTCATTTTCCCCCAAATCAAGAAAACATAATTTCACTTTTAGACTTAGATTTTTTTTATTTTCGTTCTTTGATAACGCGGTGGTCCCATTATCATCGAAGCTCACAATCTTGTTGTCGAACATCACAAATTGCGGTCCCATTGAAGCGACTATGACCGATAGGTATGTCAATTCGTCATAATTTTATTTATTGTTGTCGAAATTCTGAATATGAAAATCGTCGTTCGATTCAAACTTAGGGATCTGGGAACATTTTCTTGTTTGTGAAGTTTTAATTCAATGTTAATTACATATGACATAGTGATCGATTTGTTAAACATTATTGTAGATTTTGACGTAGGGCTTCGAAAGATTTAAATTATGTTTATGAATTTAGGGTTCCTCTTCAAATTAGGGTTTTATTTTGAAATTAGGGTTTCGAACAATTTCTAATTGCTTACATTTTTTTTATTGTACATTCATTTGAAATTAGGGTTATGATAGAATCAAGGTTATGACTGGATTATTGAGTCTGGGGCTTTTTCCTCTGTTTAATTAATTGCAGAGACAAATTTGCATTGGTTGTCAATTTTGGAGGTT